TATAAATAACTATACTGTATCAAAGTGTGGTGCACAATGCGCTTTGATAAAGAGCTTGTGTTTTAAAAATAATAGACAACCTACTGAAGACCCTAAAAAATATATCTTTTTATTTATTTATAAATTGAGGGTTTAATTTTAAAGGTTATTTAAAATAAAATAATTATTGTAACAATTAAGTATAAAAAACAATATTTAAATTTAAGGTGACAATTGCAAAATAGTAAATTAAATTTTTAAAAGAGTATACATATATTTTTTTTAATGAAATATGTACATACTCCTTTCATTAAGGTTTAAATGACTTATATGCCAGTTCGAAGCCGCTTATGATCTAATGAATTTATTTCTCGGCTTATTCATTAGACGTCTAACTATATATAATATTTCAGTTTACATTTAATTTTATTTATAATCAATATTACAGAAAAGACAAACAAGACAGCGCCATTCCCTCTCTGCTGTCCAATCTTCACCTGTGAAGATGGTGTGAAATTGGAGTATCCCGAACTCCCTACACCTGCCCCTGAAGATGAGAAGAAGGAAGGAGAGAAGCCTAAAGAAGCTTAAATTAATCGATTGTCGAAATAAATTAGGTTAGGCGCAAAATTTTAAGACACCTTGAGAACTTTGACATTTCTAAATTTGAATTCAGGCTCGTTTTTATTTTCAAGGTGACATGGTATATTTCTTTTTTAAAAGAAATAATTTGGTCTCAAAACAACGTACATAAATCACCGATAAATCAATGTTCAGATTATAGCTAAGTGCTCACTTTCTAAAAGTTTTCATGTTTAACACGAATGACTAACAATGAAAACAATATGGTGTTCCAAATTCAAAAGCCCACTTCCCATTTCCTGCTCTTTATAACATGAGCCATGACAGCTATTTTTTATTGTTCGAGAAGAATAGAGTGCGTTTTTATAAAAAAAAATGAATGTACGTACGGTATACTATTTTGTATGTGATCGTCTATTTTTAGAAGTTTATCGGCTTTTTTTACTTGAATACCTGCCTATTATAAGATAATGTTTGTGATATTGATACGTAAAATAATAGAAAAGTTATTCAATAAAAAATACAAAATTTCTAAGCATGATATTTGATTTTTATCCCTATTCAATAAATCAACGAGAGAAATAACGAAGTCATTGTTTAACTCAATACTTTATTTAGGAATAATTAATGTCACAAATATACAATACAGTAAGATTTCAACATTTGAAATATAAGTATGATAGAAACTTACAGTTACCTACACAACAAAGGAAAATAAAATTAATGGATCGATATTATAAAAAGTACGTACTGCATAATATAAGACTTATATGAGATATTTAAAAAAATTGTTTTAAAAAGTTTACAGAGTATGTTATTAATTTTTAAGGCTTGAAATACACTTTAAACTTGGTTAACTTATTTTACTACTTACATAATAAAATATATTACTCATAGCCTCCATGTTGAGATAAGTTTAAAAATCAAAGTGATCTAAAAACAACATCAACACGTGTAATAATAGCTTTAAAAGCAAAGAAAGCTGATTTGTATTATAATGTAACAATCTATAAATACATTTTTATAACTCATCTATCATCTAAACACTGATTCCTTATCTGTATGTGATATTATATATTATACTTTAAAAAGTTATTAATTTAACTATATGTTAAAATAACCAGCTATACTGTTAGAATCACAATTCACCTAATTTTAACATTTAATACAATTATTATATTGCACAAAATAGACATCGATCGCGATTACAAGTTACATTGTTGAGCGGAATACATCTAATAGAAGTCATTAAAATTTTATAAATAAATGGCCAGCAATAAATTTCCAATAAAAAATCTTTTCTCTATTCCTTTTCTAAGTAAAATAAAATGAAGGTTTTATTTAAACGAGTAAAGCATTCAAAACTGTGTTCACTGATTCAAAACAAATTTTAGTATATAAGTAAAGACTTATAAACAATACAAATGTTGTAGTTGTAGTTAGAAAAAATAACTATGTGAAAGACAAAATATATGCATCTCATAAAATATTTTATCAATTAAAATATATTCTCCTTAAGGCGTATTTGGAACCAAATTAACTTGATATGTTCTGAAATTGTGTATCACAAAAATTCAAGACGAAAAACTATTGAAAATGTCTAAACAAAATATTATTTTCTTGTAAATCGCAAAAATTGCAAAATATCAGTTACTGACAATGGAGGTAGATTACTCGGAAGATTAAATTAAATTATATTGATCTTAATAACCTCTCGAAGGAAATGAAGCGATCTTAAATTTGCATGAAAATATTACTATTTTATGTACATTTATAGAATAATTCCTCTCATTTTGACCTTTCATTAATAATTACAAATTTTTAATTTACGCTTCTACCGTGGATATGCTTTGATAAAATATTATGATGTGAAAATTATAATAAACATGTTATGATAGCTTACAACTAATTAAGCATTAACGGTCATGTAGATTTAAATAATGTTCTTAAAATGCGTAGCAAAAATAATGAAGAAGCTTTAAGAGGATATTGGTTGTTTCCTCTTTGAGTGCATGTTAGTAATTGTTAAATACATCTTTTCTCGCATTCAAAAACCCGATAATAAAAATATACTTTCAGCTTTTTTAGCTAAGAGAACCGTTTAAATTACCTATCATATTTATAAGTTTCAACTATTACAACATCAACATGCCCAAGCCGTCACTCTCTATTGGAACTAGATCACTGGAACTGATTGACTAAAGACATCGATCTATCGAAGTTCTAAAAGGAAGTCGATTGCACCGATACTTATGTATTTTGATACGATTGCTATCACGTAATAATTGAATTCCAAATTAGTGTTAATTTTGGTCAGGCTTGAAAACCTGGTTGTTATATAGTTTGCTTAGTCCACGGCTAACGCAATCTCACTTTTCTTAAAGATCACACAAGTCATTAAATTTGACTTTCAATTATGTATCGATGAAACCAATTTTAATATTTAGATGTTTATTTCTACGTTCAACTATTATTAAGTTTTACCTGTTTTATTTGATTAACCAACGTCTAAAATTGCGGTTTGAAGCTCGGTTGTAGATGCGTTGCTATTGTACTATTATTTTAAAACTGTATTTTTAACATTCATATATCACGATCGCAACTAATATATGTAAACATCAAACTGTCTAACACCTACAACAACAACTACTCGGTATGTAGGTAGGTATCTATAAAATATTCCACACGTCTCTAAAAACCTTTATAAATGTATATAATTTTTATCAATAATGATTAATTTAGTCGTCAATGTCAACATCAAAACTAATTACTTTATGGAGTAAGCTTTATAACATGTAACAACAAGCAATTTATTAACGCTAATATTTTAAACGACCATTCATGCGTTTATGTTTACGATAAATATTCATTCGACAAAATAAATGATCTTGACAGAGTTCTTGTTTGCTTTATCAAATACGAAAAATATGAATAAACTATATCCCACGTAAGTTGAAAGTCACGGTAATACATTTTCCTAAAATTGACCAATCACTTATTTGCTCCGCTGCCTTATTTATTATTAAATTTAGAATCTTTTATACATGTCCGTGCTTCAGTTTGTTTATTTAAATAGTTTTGGCAGTTTTACTTATATTATATTGATAATCGCAAGAATTTTGTTAGCATAAAGTAGTAATAATTTAATCATTAAATATATTCTTTTGTAGTTATTTTTCAGTAAAATGCGGGTCTGAGCAATATCATCAAAATCTGAAAGAAGGTTAATTTAAAATTAGGAATAAATGCAGAAATATATCATATTTTATAATAACATTGTAATTTAAACATAAATCTCTACACTCTTTGTGCGAAGTGAACTCGACTTTTTTATTATTTACTACAATTTAACAATAATATTCTAATTTTATATTTCTAACATTTTCATAACCTTAACATTGATCATTCAACTTTTTAATAAAACGTCAATAATTGATATAGCTTTAGAGAAAAAAAAGTATATTTAAAATGATCCATAGAAAACAAATTTAAAATGACTAATGCAGCGATTTCTTTGAATGCTTATTCTTTTAGTTAAACTTAAACCTTTCTCAGATAATCTCTAATAAAGTATCTAAAATAAGTTATTTTTCTTCTAACTTGAGTTATTTTCAATTTGTTTCCCATGAATTATTACTTAATTAAAACTTTAGAAATTTACAAGCCAACTAATGTCATTAGCAAGAGTCGTAGGTACGAGCAAGTAGGTACGACACATTTCGAAACATGAATTTGTTTTGACTTTGCCTTTTAATGTATTTACTTTATCAGTTCCTAGATCGTGTCAGTAGATGTGAATGTAGTACAAGCCTGAAATTTTTAATGTTGATTTTAGGCAAAGGATTAAGGATATTTTAATTGGCGTTAGTTCCCTTTTACTAATCCATATTTCATCCATAGTTTAAGCGTGCGTTTCGTGTTTTCAAATTGTTGAAATGAAATATGAAATACCAGGTTCAGAGGTTTAATGATAGATGTTAAAAATTTAAATATGATTATCGCTCTTAATAATTTTGAGAGTCATTATAATCTTTGTATTCATATTCATCCTATTGAAAAAATAATGTCTTATAGACATTATTACGAGTTTTATTTATTTGGAGTGATACAAACAATCAAAATATCAGCAGAACTACAACCTAATATTGTTTCCTAAAACTGGAACCTCGTTGCGATTTATTTTTATAGCTTTAAGTCAAATTAAAGAATATTTAAAATGAAGATAAGAAAAAATTACGTCACAAAAATGGTTTTTTGCAATTAATTCCCAAAATGTTTTGACATTATTGAAGATTAGAGATAAAAATAGCTTTAGATATCACGAAGTGACTGAAGAAGATTTTATCTGTGTTGTTTAGATTTTTTTTGTTAACCGTTCAGTCTTATGACGTTTTGTGTTAATTTTTCAGGTAAAAAATTATTCTTGAACAACGATCGGCTTATTCTGGTTTGAGACGGTGCCACTGCACGATGGTCTGTCGAGGTTTTGTAATCATATCCTGCCAGTGTTTAGTTTCAGTAGCTCCGGAGCCATTTTTACCTGAAATATAAAAAATATTTCCACGAATATACAATAGAACAAAATTCCATTCACTAAGCAGTAGTGCTAAAGTGCAAGATCATAAATATAATCACAGGTTGTTTTATTTTATTGAGATAAAAATACTTAACAACCTGTGATTATATTTATGATCTTGTATGTTAGAAGTGACATACTATCTGTAGCCTTCTTTAACTTAAACTTGGCTGCAAATGTCCCTGGATCACATTGGCGTCATTCTGGGACAGTTAGTTTGTTAGTCACACAAATCTTATAAAATATATTATTTAAATGTTATAAAACGTAGCAAGTTACTCGGATATTTAGCAATAGTATGGGTATAGATCGAACATTTTGAAAGAAGTGATAGGTGGCTAGTTCATCGTTTACACAATCACAAATTCACCATCTCATCAGTCACCACTTACGACATGCTAGGCTAGTAACAGAGATGGCACATTAAATTTGTTATAAATCCCAAAAAAACATGGAACTTTTATGTTCCAGACTGGAAGACATGGGGTATTTTTTGCTATATTTAGTAATAAAAATAAAATCCTAAGTGAAATGAGGTAAGTAATAATGATAAAGTATATAAGGAAGTGTACATTGGCAAAAAATCTATGTCGAATTGTAGGGAAGCCAGTACAGAGTACATTATATCACAGCCACAAGAAGTAGAAAATAAGGAGCCGATTTGCCTTCGCTCATTCTTTTCAATGTGATTCATTGGAATACATCGAGTTGGTTCAGATTTTGTCAAGATTGAACTATGGGCGGTTCATGGAGTCCACGATCAAAGCAGCTGAAAAAAAAAGCTCCAGCTCTCAAGGGTCTTCGCAAAGATGCAGCCTAATAGCTGCATACACATATAAAGTGCTAGTCCGGTTGTGCATATATGTGATACGTTTATAAGTGGTAGACACATGCTGCAGTTATATTAGTAGTACAGTTGTTGCACGAATAGGTCAGCTCGACCGGGGAAGGACCACGCTTATCAGAATACCAGCGTAAAATAGTAGCTTAATGCCGCTATTTCGTATGTGAGTGTAGAGAAACGGAAACCCTTTTTACTGGAAACGAGGTATTCCATCTTAGTCATTTTGATTCGTAGTCGAGGATAGTTGTAGATGTCTGTGGGCCACAGCATCCAATTACGATTAGGTGGACTATGTTTTTTATAGGTTAGGGTGACAAACGAGCACACAGTCCACCTGTGCTCATTTGTCACCCTACCCTATAAAAATGTGCTAGTGCTGCAAAATATTACTCTGCAGCCTTATCCTCATTGCAAGTCGTGCTTAGAGGCTTATTGGGAATCTTAATCTGGCTAAAGCAAATCTTACAAGTTTACAGCTTTTGGAAATTGTGCACAGGAATTGCATGACTTAATAGCTCCTCCACCAGTTGCTCGGCCAGTCTCTGCTCTTTTGTTGTCAGCAATATGCCTTCGGTTTGCTGCATCTTCGTCGTTGTTGTTAAACTAATTCATTGCGTTTTACCATCTTCGGTTATATTACTAGAGTAGATAATAATATTAATAATAATAATGTCCTTCAGACCGAATTTCGGCTACGGCGGCCTGTCTCAACGGAGGCTAGCCATCGTCGCAAGACAGGATTATAGTGCCCAAGTGTATGCGCAAGCACAGGTGCACTCTCTATTCCCTCACTCTCATAATCCGATGTGACGGTATACCGACACGACCGGAGAGAGATCAGGCGCAGGACCAAGAGACACGGGGTGAGCCACCGCCAACTTCCTGACTCCGAACAACTACTGGGAATTTCTTGACGGAAAAACTCAATAATTAATATTTTGTCCCGTTCCGGGATTCGAACCCAGTACCTCATGATCAGCAGTCGCACTACTACAACCACTAGACCAACGAGGCAGTCAGAGTAGATAGTAGTCAAGCACTGACATATAATAGATAAAAAATAGGCAATAAAAATATTTTGTGTAGCTTTCACACAAGTATGTAATAAAGCGAGAATTTGTTGTTTCATACATTTAAACTATATGTTTCCAAGAAACACAAATTGAAAAAGCAATTTACTCGTATACTGTAAAACTATATACAATAATGATTCCTAGATCTCAATACCATACACAATATAAAGAACAATATTATAATATATACACAATATTATAAATTAGCTAATTAACTTACGCACCGGCTAAAAGTATTCTTCCGATCAATTCATTACGACCAATATTGTCGAAATCCATAACCTGGACATCAAGGGAGCATTCCCTGATCTTCTCCCACGGTACATTAAATGAGAATGAATCGTTGAAAACGGGATTTAACGTGCACTTGAAGATAGCTGTCTTGCGCTTCTCGATACGTTTGTCACCAAACTGAAGCCAAACCTTAACGTACGGATCTGAAAATTAGAGATAATGAGCTAGGTAGGTACTTCATGATACATATTTTAAATTTAAAAAATCTAAATCTGTTATAACACAGGATTAAATGATGATGATTATGCCGTTTTCTTTCTTTCCCTTCATTCTTTGTCAATTTAGACTACGTTGATTTCTTTCCCATAAGGAATATGGCTACATATTGCACAGGAGTATCTATTACCTGCTTCAGATGTAACGTGTATGGTATAGATGTCATATCTAGGCTTTGTTAGGATTGAATGTTAAAGAGTCGAATAATCATAACACAACCACTCAACACACAGGTTTTGTGCTAATGTTGGTTACGGCTGATTAAGTTTTATTGCGCCAAAAAGTAATGTTATACGAAACAGATACAGAATTTTTAACTTTCCGCTAAGAAAATTGAAAATTTTCTAAAATACGAAAGTTACTGATTTCACTCCGATTTTCGAAAATCGAGTTTTCATCAGATCTCGACGTGAGATCCCAGGAAGCTATTCTGACTAATTTCACGTGGACGTCTGTACGGACGCATGTATGTATGTGTGTGTGTGTGTGTAGGTATCTAAACTTTTTATATGTTTTGAATGTTTTGATCGATTGAGATACAGTTTTCGGCGTTCTAAAGATCTCAATGTGAAATAGATTTGGTGATAATATGAACTGATTCAGACGAGTTGATTTTGAGAAATCTCAAAAATAAAAAATTTGAAAAACTGTTCTTTTGGAATAACTTTTAAACTACATTACCGATCGATTTCAAAAACTAATCAGCTCTTAACCTCACAAAATGACGTCGAATGCCGTTTGGAAAATAGAAATCAGTTCATTCGTTCGTGAGATATCGACGGAGAAAGAATAAAAAAAAACGTTTTCGCTTTGCATTTGAAATTACCGGGAAGTTCCAGGGATGGCCTGCAGGGTTAACTAATTTTTTTTCATCAAAGACATTTCCCTCTGTCGGCTCCTACGACATCCATGCGATAAAAGGGAGTGACAATATTCTAGGCCGCTGCCACACAGGAAATATTAATAGTTACACGCCAAAATTTCGGCCATTTAGGACGTGTAGTTGTTATTTGACAGTCGTTTGAGTGAGTCGATGTGTGTTTTTTTTTCGAAATGGAAAAAATTGAATATAATATAAAGCAATACGCCTACGTAAATCAAAAATAAGTTGGACTCTGTGTATGAAAACTTCGCACCATCGTTTACTTCATTGAAATTTTTGTTAGCTGAACTTAAAAATGGCTGTGAGAGCTTGGGAGATGATGAACATTTGAGACATCGCTAAAGTTCAACAAATGGTGCTGACGACCGCTGAATTAAAGTGAAACAGATAGCAAAGGCTATGAAAATATCCAAAGAACGTGTTTGTCACATATTAAATCAAGATTTAGGCATGACAAAGCTGTCAGAGCGTTGGGTGTTGCTTTGCTCAGACAAAATCGTGTTCAAATGAACATTTACAATGCTCTGTTGGCGCAGTTTAGGCGCAATAAATCCGAGTTTTGGCGCCGATTAATTACTGGAGATTAAACTTGGATTCACCGTTATATGCCCGAAACAAAAATATAGTCAAAACAGTGAACTGCAGGGGGGACCGACTCCAAAAAAGCAAAAACTGTTTTTTCGGCTAGGAAAGTAAAAGCAACTGCTTTTTGGGATAGTCATGGAGTTATCTCAATCGATTGCCTTCAAAAAGGGAAAACTATTACGGGAGCATACTACGCATCATTATTTGATAATCTGAAGGCAGAAATTGCAGAAAAGCGACTACATTTTCAGAAAAATAAAATCCTGTATCACGATGACATCGCGTCGTCTCACTGCTCAACGGTTGCCATGTCGAAAATCCAAGGATTACAGTTTGAACTACTTGAACATCTGCCTCACTCAGCAGTAACTTCTTTTTGTTCCCTCATATAAAATTGTGCTTGGAGGATAGAGATTTTCGTCAAATGAGGAGGCAATCGCCTTTGTGAACAACTAATTTGCAGAGAAAACACCGAGAGCTATTTGGACGGGTTAGAGAGATAGGAGCATCGCTGGGAGGAGTATGTAGAGTTACAAGTAGACTATGTAGAAAACAAAAATAAATTGACGACTGACTACAGAACAACTAATATGGCGGCATGATAGCAGTGCGGCAAACGAATTTATTGTGTTGTGTACTTAGTAGTTACGTAGTAGACCAAGTAATTATTCATTAAACTAACAGATAGCACTGGGCTCCTTCAATTATTTGAAAATAAAAATAATTACATAACAATTACGACAATATTGTCTCGTCTCGAGACTCGACCCGAAAGTCCCGGGACTCGAAACAACTAAAATTACGAAAAATTCCGGGACTTCGAGACACGAGACGTCCCGGGACCCAAACACTACTGCCTAGCCCTCTGGCTGACAGACGTGAGTATTTGTGTTTATGTATTACTTCGCCATGCTTCATTAAATTGGGAAACACACCAGATTCAATACTAGTATTAAAAATAAGTAGAAGTGCGATTGTATTTTATTATAGACGCAATAAATTTAACCGAAATCCCAGACAGATCTGCAGATTTCTTAATATCAATCGTTTTAAAATATTTTACAATACGTATTGATGATACTTTATGAAATGTAAAATTCTTTGTACACGCATGTACATTTTGTTTAAGTAAAGATTCGGAGACGGCAGGAGAAGAATTCAGTGAGTTAGTGGTAAAGATCGGAATATCTGCAAAATATTTCTCAAAAACCATTGCAACATCCTGATCTGATTCAGTAAATTTTTTGTAAAAAACTTTTATAAAAAACTGGTAGTTTGAATTGCGAGAGTTGACCTTATTAGTTTCACTATTGATTATTATACTCCATGTAATTTTAATTTTATTAGAAGTCATCCTATTTTGTTACTCAAATGCAAATACTTGGCTGAGGAGCACATTCATTTAAATATTTTTTGAATATTTTTTTAGGTATTCCCTAAAATCAACGCTAGGATTATAAGACGTATGAAGTTCATATAACCTTTGTCTGCTCTTATGGACTCCTAGTATCGCCCATTCGTGGAATGCCTTCCCTATACATAGAGATTTTTTTAGAAGTAAAAGTTTCATCAAATTAATTGCAAATAAGCTTAAAAAATGTTCCATACAAAAAATCTGGACTATTTTGGTACGATAGTGATGGAAGTTTTTTCACTATGTGCATTTATTGTAATAAACACAAATTTCTTATCTACTAGCTTTTTCTGAACGTAAATTAACGAAACTAAGTGCTCAGAACTCAATTTTTGAATTATAACATTTATGCAATGGCTTAAAATTTGTAAAAATGTTATCTATACATGTTGTGAAGGAAGCTTCCAGGAGATTGATATTAAAGTCTCCATATAGACAACAGAATTATTATATAGAACATGGGGGTCTATAGACGCCCACTACAACGAGATGTTCAAACTGAAGAACTGCCGATAATTATATATATTTTATAATCGACAGTTCTTCATTAACCTTTTTAGTTTTAAATTTTTTCTCCATGTTTTATATTTGTGCTCATGGATGTCAACGACTTTGGTAAGTAACAGAATTTTGTTATAGTTTTTTATAAATTACAGAAAACGCACGAGAGTAGAATAAATGCAGTGGAAATACGGTCGCTAAGGAGTATGTTAGAGCTGAATTTGACTAACAGGATGAAAAACTGTCTGATAAAAGAGGAGTGTGGTTTGCAAGATGATGCTGTGATCAAGATTACGAAAGGAATGCTTCGGTAGTTTGGTCATGTAGAGAGAATGAATTAGGAAAGACTGACAAACAAATATATGTTGCAGAAGTAAATTAAAGAGTTGGAAGGGGACGTCCTTGGTGAAAGTTTGTCGACCAAATTGGCGATATATTGAAAATGGGCCAAATTAAGAGTACCCTTAACCGACGGGCATGTATGCGTAGGTATATGTGGAAGAGGCGAGAGAGGTATGTCAGGATCGTGCTAAATGGAAGACTGTAGTCTCTGCCTACCCCTCTGGGTGACAGGCGTGAGTGTATATGTTTGTGTGTATGTATTTTTACAAATAACTTTTGACAAATGGCTTTTGACAAATGACAATTAATAAATATGTATACTTATGTAAAAGTGTATGGGAAAGAATTACCACTCCGATGGATGATGGAAGAGACGACAAAAGGAAATGAAACAGCATTCTCCTGATAACAAGTCAACATAGTAAAAAAAACGAGTATGCACGAGTATGTACAGTAATCCAACACGATCGAAGAGGGATCAAGCGCAGGACTTTTTTATTTAAGGTTTTACGTGTTTTCCGAGGCACGGGAGTGAAACAACTGGCACTGAGAGTTTTTTGATTGAAAAATCCCTTTACTGATTTTTACCCAACCCGAGATTCGAACCCAGAACCACATAAAAAGTAGTCCCGTTTACGACCAGTAGACTAATTAGGCATATTAATAAGAATAGTGACGGATGGGATTTGCTCTTGGATCGACAAAAGAACCTTTTGAATCTCATTCAATTTCTCAACATAACCCGATTAGCTGTTGATACATGTTAAGGGAAAGTCTTAAAAAATCAATACTGTAGTTACGGTGTCTGTGCTCCTATCTAAAAACGGCAGAAAAAAGTACAGTGACAAATTTCGTACAACAAACAATGAAGGGTGAATATAGGCCTGAATATGTGCCTTTTGGCATTCGTCTCAGTAGTCTTTCTCACTATGGAGTTGTTTCATTTCGACTAATCAAACGGTTCCGCGAATTCATCATCTAAATCTAGTTTTATAAATCTCCCGCAACCTGAACGCGTTCAACATCGCCTAATAAAAACGCGTGCTTATTACCAAATAACTTTTGATAGTAGTAAAATTTATCGTATTGAAAAGGCAAAGTAGTAATAAATTCCTTAAACTTGTTTTTATTACGGACACTTGATTTCCCTTTCAACGACCCGCCCTAAAAAGGCAGGGCAATAATTCAAATAGTCCAGTTTCCCCGCAAAATGAGACTCGTTTAATTGGGAGTGCCTGCTTTAAGATGGTATCTTGATTTATATACTGCGCAGAGGGCTTGGCAATCTGTAAATATGGAAAGTGGGATAGAATTTCATGAGATTATTAAAGTTTAGCTGCCAAATGAAACAAAAAACTTTTACTTATTTAATCATCATATTTAAATTGCTAGTTGATTTAAAAAAGATAATTTTAATGCGATATTAAGGATATATGAGATAAAAATATCCCATATGTTGAAATATATTTTAAAATTATAAAAATCTGAAATGAAATATCTTAAAAGTAAAAAATCAGATATTTCTTATAAGTAAAATAAAATGTTGAGGGTTAGATTTTATAAGTTATTTTAAGCAATGTTTTTCATTTGAATTCATTTTTATATGAGACCGTTCCAACAATAAGGATTACGCTGAAAGCATATGAAGTCGACAGTGATATAATATTTTCGAACTTTATATAAACAGCAGCAACGAAGGAAAAAAGTGGCAGATCCACATTGTAGTGCAGTACGAATGGGTCGGCTTGATCGAGGAAGAACTACACTTATTCAGAATAACAGCGTGAAATATCGTATCGTTTCGTATGATAAATAACAAGATCCGGAGAGTATTTTTAATGGTAACGAGGCATTCCATATTAGTCCTAAGGGGTGACTGGTGAAGGGGTGGTGGGGGAACACAATATCTATCATATTTTTTTTTTTTGTAAAATAGTTACAAGCAAATATTCTTCTGACGGCGTAAGTGAATTCATTACTTTCTTTTGCTCATCAAAAACTGATTGATGTTGATCAGTGGGTGCGTTTGGCAGAAAAAAGCGCTAGCAAGCGCTTGTAAGCGCTGAAATAGTTTTCGGCCAGGACACGATTGCTACTTCAGTAGCGCTGACACAATCCACCATTTTGCTTATTTAATTTGTTTATTTTTAAGTAGAGTTTATAAGTTGTTTTGTGCAATATTAGTTTTAAGTAATATAATGACATGAATAAACATATATATGTTATTAAAAATTCATCACTGGTAAGTTTTTAATATGAATACTTTACAAACATATATTTAAATAAGGTTAGGTTCTCCGGTTAAAACTAACATCGTGTCCTGGAGGAAAATAGCTACTTACGATTTGACAGCGCTTACCGCTTACGATCGCCATTTTGCTTACAAGCGCTTACTAGCGCTTTTTTCTGCCAAACGCATCCTGTGTATCAGTGCGGCTGTGAAATTACCAATCCTTCTGCTCAACGTGGTGAGTGACGGACCAATCTCTAAGGTAACGCGTGCTGGCTGGCGCGTTCTTGAAAAGGCTTATTACCAGCAGTGAATTTAGAAAAAGCTAATGATGCGATATGTTACTAACCAGTTATGTAACGTTATGATGTACTTATTATACATATTTTCAATGTTTATTATACCTGACTTTCCATTAATGTCTTTGGCTTTAAGGTTTCGAGCTTTTAAAAGCGTCAATGTGAGCACACTGTTACTTGGATGATAGCAGAGAGATGTCAGCAGCTCGCCACATTTATCTTTAGCTGGTGGTTTTAGAGCTTTCCAGAAGGATGGTTTCTCACTGAGATCAACCTGTAAATATAAAAAATAAACGTTAATTTTGATTATTGCAGAGAGGTGTGGTCAACCGGTTAGAAATGACACAAAAATTTTAACACAAAAATGTTCTGATAAATTTTTAATGGAATACCTATTCGAAGATAAAGTTTTATTTAATTTTAAAACATCATTATTTATGTAACTTAACCTCATACTTATAATTCATTCAAGAAATCATTAAAAAAACTTATAATTCCATATCTAATAATTATTTCTAGAGGCAGACGAATGATTTACTATTAATTTTAACTATAAGGTTTTATTTTGACTGTGAAATTCAAATTTTCAGGAAAATATAAGATGGATTGTGGCTGTGTCTGTATGATTTTCACTTTTTATGTTTGATAAATTTGTTAGTTGAATGTCTAGTAACTCGGCGGATCATAGTTTTTAAAATTTAATATAATTTATGAAAAAAAAAACATTGGAAAATGGCAGTGAAAATGGAATACGTAGATTGTATCTTGAAAATAACTATTGCTCTGGTATCAGAGGAGTTTGTAGGGTCTAAACGTAGCCTGCATATCCGCTTATAGTACAACTCGTGTTTTATAAATATTGGTGTACCGAAATATAAATAATAATAAGAAATAATATATCATTTATAGTGCCTTCACAATAGGTAGCCTTAAAAATAACATTATTGCGATAATTAGATTCCAGCTTTGTGAGAGACTGATGTAGATGCAGGTCACCAAAAATAACACAAATTTAGCAGTATTCTAATAAATAAAATCGGTGCATTTAAATAGTTTAGAATAACTTAGTCAAAATACTTTAACATTTAATAATAAACGATCAAACATCGATGACGACCGATGACAGTGAATTAAAATAGTTTGTAAGTGTTAATATTTTAATAAACATTTTATATTTAAATAACATTCGAATTCAATAAAGAATCATTTCTGAAATTTGTTTCTCTGTCACCGTATATTAACGATGTATATAATTTATTATATGTTGTGTTAACTAAAACTAATAAAGCTGTTATAAGCTGAATTTTCTAAGGAATATTTTAATGTTGACGATAAATTACGATACAATTTAGCTATTTATGAAATGAAACAAATGAAAAAAAAAACTTTTTGACGCCTTCGTGGTGCAGTGGCTTAGCAAGAGTTGCAGCTCTGAGGGCTGCGGGTTAGAATCTCCCACGGAACAAATATTAGTATTGTTCCTGGTTTGGATGTTTGTCCTTGTACAATTTAGGTATGTAATCTATCTCCACGATACAGGATAATATCTTAGTGTGAGGGTAATAGTAAGTTATAATAATGGTAAACTTTAAAAAAAATAAAAGAGAAAAAGAATACAACGAGTTCATTTTTTTACACGATATTAATAAGGTAGGTATAAAAATTAAAAATATATTTTCGTTTAATTTTATGGTACGCAAAGTAAATACCTAGCTTAACAAATAGATTGCGTAGAAATTGCAATTGTACGAGAAATTTACGCAAAATAAATTCTACGGGCTTCCATTAAATTACCCAGTAAAAGTTTTGCTTTCAGCCGTCCTTCTAATTTTGTGCTGGAAAATTATTGTAAGGTTGATTCATTGCTCTTCACTTCAATGAAACCGTATTATTCAAATGGAAACCATTAAGCACTTTGTTAAGTGGATTGAGAGTATTTACAATGAAGCTTTTTCAAACAAAGAAAATTAATAGACAAGCGAAAGATGTTTGGGACTGTGACTGCCAATTCGCCTACCAAGCGTTTATACCAAGCGGGATTAAGCAGTCAACTTTTATGGGCTGATTATGAAGAAGATTGCTTCTGTCTTATTATACTGATTAGTTTTATAATAACAATATCAATTATGTCGTAATATTTCATGTTAATAAATTCATATTTAGTGTTTAACAAAATCTAAAAAAATTACAAATTTTAGTTAGCTTTTTATTTTATTTACGCCGTTAATAATGACCAAATTTGTAATATGATTTATATCTATATTTATTAAGTATATTTAAAAAAAAATGTAAAAGAGTAGAGTAATAAGAAATATATGTATTACTAAAATCTACTGTCAAAAAGTAGTTTGTATGGAATAAAAATACCTGGCAAAGTGGCAAAAATACTTCTCCAATCGAATCGTCCCTGGAGAAGCGATCGTAATCAAATACATGCAGATGTAAGACCTGAAAAGCAGAAAAAATCTCTTTTAAGTCGCTCGTATCACAACTTAGTCATCATTGCGATAAGAGTCATTTAACATCAACCTTTTTAGAAACAAAATTAGAAACTTTTTTATAGAATCCCCTAAAGGAAATTTCCCCCAAGGAATGCACAAAGCACGGTCGTGAGCGACCTTGAGCTTCCTTATACAGCTAGCAGTGAAGGACCATGTCTCAGATTCATAAGTCATCATTAGCAACACGCACTGGTTGCACAACCTCGTTTTCAAGTATTGAGGTATATCTGACGAGAAGATGTGTTGTAATTTCTCGAACGCTGTTCAGTCGAGGTGAATCCGTCGATTGACCTCTTGGCGGAAGTGGGACATACCTAGTCGGACTATTGGTCTCAGGTAAACATACTCGTTAATATTTTCGAGCTTAGGGTACTAACAACTACTACAACTACTGGCATGGGTGTGACATGGACGTCACAACTTTGTTTTATCCATGTTTATCTTAAGACCTATCCGTTGGGAGGTACTATTGAGATCATTGCATAGTGCTTAAAGCCTCTAACGATTCTGCAATAAGGACTGTACCGTCAGCAAATCGAAGATGAGAGATGTACTGGCCAATGATGTTAACTTATATTTTCATTTGACTTAAACTTATTATTATGGCTCGAAATATATTATAGATTTAATGGAAAGATAGATAGAGTAAAAATATATACAAGATTTGGGATAATTCTCTAACATAAATATAATATTTAAGATTTACTAATATTGTGACTTAAATAGATAATAGTTACCCGACTCTGCAACTTCTGTATCGGAAATCCTTCGAAGTAGAAGGTCTCGTTCCAGCGTGGATTTAGTGTGCGACGCTTGATCTTCGTCTCTAAACGATGCTTTTTATCCGGCAGAAGTGTGACACGCACATAAGGGTCCGAGGTTCCACTCAAATCCTTTGCTGGTAGATCCTTGCCCTATGTTATTGCCAAGTTTTTTTACTTCTTTATACAATATTATTATAGAAATTACTCATAATATCATATAACAATAATAAAACAATTTTAAATAATAATAGTAATAGTATAAAAGTAATAGTAACTCGGTATAAGGATATTTTTAATAAAATTGACCAACTAAAAAAAGCGCTGGCCACTTTAAAATGTTTTTAATATTAAATTGTTTGTCATTAATTCCAGATCGATTCCAAATTTAAAAAAAAATAAAAAAATAAAATGTGATAGCGGTAAAAATTTAGTTGAACTGGAGGAAGCGAATTTTGTAATTTACTTTTTATTTGGTACTTTTCACTTGTTATTTTTTGTTGAAAATCGCTATTTCTAACATCTTTTTTATTCGAGTTGATTGCGATAATCCGATTTTCTATTGATATGCAACGTCAACATTTAAGTGGAGAAGTGATGTTAGGAGCAGTGGGAATGCTGCAGGCTGGAGTTTTTCAACGTGCCGTCGCTGTGGCAATAGGCACCAGGCAAAACGTGATTTCGAGGTTCTGGTCACGCTACCGTGCGACGGGGAGGTAGAGGAGAGATAAGCAGGACAAGATAGTTTTTTTATAAATTTTTGCGAGGAGGCAACCAAATGTTACGGCGATGAAAAAGCTACAGTCTGAACACCACGTGACCAAACTGTGAGGAAGGAACTGCACGAAGTTAACTTTCATGCTTGTTGTCCCATTTTGGGTTCCAGGTCTAAGAAGAGGAAATCATGGACAGACAGTGGGCTAGAGAACATATGAACTGGGAAACTCATCAATGGTTGTTGGTGCTTTACACCGCTGAATCCCAATTGAAGTTTTCATCCTGATTTGAGGAGAGTACGTGTTCGGAGAGTTCCATTTTTATAGGATAAGGGTTACAAACAAGCACAAAGTCCGCTTGATAGTAAGTGGATGCTGTGGTCTACATAGAAATCTACATTTATCCTCGATTAAGAATCAAAATGCAGATGCGTTGTCACCCACAGTAGCATTAAGCTGCTATTTTACGCTGGTATTCTGTGAGAGCGTGGTACTTTTTCGGTCGAGCCGATCCATTCATGCTACAACCATAAATTCGTTTTGGTGGAGGAACGGAACCTGTTTTGACACAGGGCGCTATAATGGTTGAAAATACCATAATGAGCTAGTACCAATAGTCTTGCCACATCCAACATAATTGGGAAATTTCGCAGCAGCCTGGTTGCACGAACATGATGTGACGGCCTAAGTACGGCCAACGCAATCCCCAGACTTAAATGCTATTGAGAATGCTTGGGATATGCTCCAACGAAGAGCTCTGAGAGATTTTTCTGAAAGTCTGGGTACAGAAAAACAACTTTTTATGCATCTCAATAGGACCTGGGACAATATTCCTCAACAGGATTTTGACAGCTTCATTCTGAGTATGCCCAACCGATGCAGGTTCGTTATGAATGTCATGGATGGTTTAACTAATTATTAACTCTTAATTAATAGTTTTTACTTTAATTTGTCTTTTATTTTAAAACCCTATATCGCTATCGCTGTAGTGTGTTGATATGTATAGTAGTAGTAAAATAAACAAGTATCAAGCTTAAACCTAATTATATTATAATGTAAAAAAAGAAAATCTTTGCTACTTTATTATTAATATAAGCTTGTTCTAAAATCTCCTGCCGAAAGGTATATTTCAATAGAAAAAACAAAACAAAATATCAATTTCAATTGATATTTGGGAGCAACATCTAATCTCAGGAATTTATTTTAAGAGTAGATTTTACAGTTTGAATATCTTTCTATATCTGATTCTAACAGTTGATCTTCGATTTATAACAACATGAAAGTGTTTATAAATAATAACTATACATTATTTTTAAGTGAATATCTGTGATGTCGTTCACAATATTTCTTGTTGAATAAAAATATAATATTTTAACTATTCATATTTATCTATTTATAAATTTTGTAGAGTATTGAATTATTATTACTATCATATTATTATTACTGAACCTAAACGTTAAGTTGGAGAGGTCTCGTCTAATGAAGTCAACGCTCCGTCCCCCTCGTGCTCTAATCCAGGATCCCGAAAACTTTCAGCTCGAGCTACGTAACCGCTTTCAGTGCCTACAAGATTGTAATGCAGTGGACGATATGAATGACAAGCTCGTGGAAACTGTCCATGCGGTCGGAGCTAAGTTCTGCAAGACCCGCCGCAGAAGAACACAAAAACTCTCCGATCACACTCTTAATCTCATGGCTGTTAGACGGGAGATGAGGCTGCAATCGTCAACAGATTTGACAGCATACAGGCAACTGAACAGACAGATCTCCAAATGCATGCGGCGAGACTTACGCAACTTTAATACTGCTCGTATTAAAGAAGTGATCGAGCGGAACCAGGGCTCCAAAGTCTTTGCCACAGATCTGTCTGCCAGTAAGAGCCAACTGTCAAAGCTGAAGACTGAGTGTAGCAGCATCGTTTCCGGGACACCTGAGATTTTGAGTGAGATTGAGAGGTTCTATGGGCAGCTGTACACATCATCGTTGGAGCCACACGTAAGTGTGAGTAACGATCCAAGAGCAAGTCTTATTCGACACTTCCGATGATATCCCGGATGTCAGTCTAAGCGAGATTAGAATGGCTCTCCAGCACCTTAAAAACGGCAGGGCCCCAGGCGAGGATGGAATTGCAGCAGAGCTTCTGAAAGCGGCTGGAACACCGGTACTTGAAGTCCTTCAGAAGCTCTTCAATTCCGTCCTCCATGGTGGCACTACTCCAGAGGCGTGGAGCAGAAGTGCGGTGGTCTTGTTCTTTAAGAAAGGCGACAACGCTCTCTTGAAGAACTACAGACCGGTTTCCCTTCTGAGCCGCGTCTACGTGCTGTTTTCGAAGTTCGAGAGTCATTACGAATCGTCTCGCACGCAGACTCGACGACTTCCAGCCTCCCGAACAAGCCGGTTTCCGAAAAGACTTCAGTACCATAGACTACATACATACCCTGCGTCAGATTGTACAGAAGACTGAAGAGTACAATCTGCCACTTTGCCTGGCATATGTGGACTATGAGAAAGCCTTTGATTCCGTCGAAATTTGGGCGGTGTTACAGTCCCTTCAGCGGTACCAAGTTGACTGTCAGTATATCGAAGTGCTGAAGTGTTTATACAGTAGGGCTACGATGGCTATCCGAGTACAGAACCAGAGCTCGAAACCTATCCAACTGCAGAGAGGTGTAAGACAGGGTGACGTTATATCCCTGAAACTCTTCACCGCTGCATTGGAAGACGTTTTCAAGCTACTGGACTGGAAAGGATACGGTATTAACATCAATGGCGAGTACATCACTCACCTTCGATTTGCCGACGATGTAGTCCTTATGGCAGAATCGCTGGAGGACTTAAGCACTATGCTCAATGACCTCAATAGTGCCTCCCAACGGATAGGTCTTAAGATGAACATGGACAAAACAAAGATCATGTTTAATGTCCATGTCACACCTATGCCTGTAGTTGTTGGGAGCACTATGCTCGAAGTTGTTGACGAGTACGTTTACCTGGGACAAATAGTCCGACTAGGTAAGTCCAACTTCGACCGAGAGGTCAATCGACGGATTCAACTCGGCTGGGCAGCGTTCGGGAAATTACGACATATCTTCTCGTCAGGTATACCTCAATCTCTAAAACCTAGATTGTAAAACCAGTGCGTATTGCCAGTGATGACTTACGGATTTGAGACGTGGTCCTTCACTGCTGGCCGTATGAGGACGCTCAAGGTCGCTCAGCGAGCTATGGAGAGGGCTATGCTCGGAGTTTCTCTGCGTGATAGACTCAGAAATGAGGATATCCGCAGTAAAACCAGAGTGACCGACATAGCCCAACAGATTAGTAAGCTGAAGTGGCAATGGGCCGGCCATATAGCTCGAAGAACCGATAACCGATGGGGAAGAAAGGTTCTCGAGTGGCAGCCTCGTACCAGTAGGCGTAGTGAAGGGCGACCCCCCACTAGATGGAGTGACGACCTGGTAAGACATGCAGGAAGTCGATGGAACGTTGATTGTCGTCTTCATGCGTGTGTTACACACATGGAGGTTTCGGGCCTCGGGGTAAGCCCCCATTACCCGTGCTGTCCTCGCGGTCCACTACTATGGACCGGTCCTGGGAGCCTTCTATTGGCGTTGTAGGAGTAAAAACGAATTGTCGCTATCGGTACTTATTTCGTAGTCGGTTGTGACTACGAAAACGGAAGGTTATCTAATGAAGTCGGAGTTGGCCTTTCAGCGGCATTGAGGGTTGTTACTCGACTCTCTAATCGATATAGAGAGGAGTTCTCTTGGATAGGGTCGCCCGTCCGGGGGGCGAGTGTGTAGCGGCGCAAAGTTGTTAAGGTGTATATGTGGCCCGTTGTCTGCACGGTCGAACAGTCCGCGCGCCAACCGGGCCACAAATTCCTGTATGGTGTCTATCTTCAGGTTGGCCGCTATGACGTCATTCCGGACGTAGCGACCCGCACCGACGATGGTTCTTAACGCCAAATTTTGCTGGGCCTGCAGTCGCCGCCTCAGAGGCTCGCTCAGAAGCGCGTACCAGGCCGGAGCAGCATAGGTGATAATGGCTCTGATGTAGGTTTTGTATACTCGCACTTTGGTGTTAAGTGGTAGCTTGGATGCCAGGACCGGACGTAGCATCGCCCGCGCACATCGTGCTCTACGGACGACGAGGTCGACGTGCGCAGTCATGCGCAGCGCCCGGTCGATCCGGCACCCAAGGTAGGTCACGGCCTTCTCGTACGCGATCTGCTGGCCATTGAGGGTTAATGGAGGTGGTAGGTTCCTGAGGCGGCGAGTGAGCAGAGCGGTCGTCTTACAAACGTTGACGACCATCCTCCACTCATCTAGCCATGGTGGCAACAGGTCCAGGAGGCGTTGCATCCTGGCAGCGGCAATATGGGCTCTTCTGGAAGAGGTGAAATAAGCGCTATCGTCCGCTTATAACGCCAATTCC